TGAGATGGTATCTCATTGTAGTTTTGATTTGCATTTCTCTAATGGCTAATGATCGTGAGCATTTCTTCATGTGTCTGTTAGCTGCCTGGGTGTGAGTTTTAAATAAATCTTTATATCATTCTCTATTTTCTAAATTTTCCACAATATGCAAATAGAAAATAATATGGAAAAATAATTTATAAAAACAGTAAAGCTCCCTCCTAATATATCTAAAAACTCAAGTTGAGCAAACAGCAAGCACATTTCCTAACTCTTCTTGTTTATCTTTTTTCTCAGTGCTCTGCTTCTGTCTTCATGATGTTACTTGGCAGTCTCTGAATCTTGGGTCCTTTGAGGTTCTTGGTGTTCCATATGAAAGTGCCTTTCTACTGGGGTCAGATTGAGTGGCACCTTATCATCTTAAATTCTTCATTAGCATATTAGCTTTCTTCATTAACAGAAGCACTATTCACTAATACAGGCACTATTACTGTTGCAGCAGATTTAATTTAATTTTGACAGCAGTTCTGTCCATGATGTTGAACTCTGCATTTGATATTCCAGAGCAATGTTGTTACAGTAAGAGAGCAAATAGTGAAGGGCTTATTAAGAGCTTGAATGTTGGAGTCAGATAGGAAAGCACGGTTAAAGTTCCAGTGTTTATATCACCTTATGGCTGTGTGTGTGATTTTTGATTAAGTTATTAACCTTTCCTGGTCCCTCTGTGCCAAGTCCTTAAGGGTTTTACTTGTAGTTTGAAAATACTTTTAGAGACATACAAGAGAATTTCTGGTTCTCAGGGAACTTCCTAGAGCTGCGCTGTCCTGTATAGTAGTCACTAACCTCATGTGGCTCTTGAATGCTTGAAGTGTGGGTAGTCCCAAATGAGATGTGCTGTGAATGTAAACTACACACTGTATTTTGAACACTTCATAGAATTGAAAAGTTACATATGTGGCTCACATTATATTTCTGTTGGAGAGCCCTGGTCTAGAAGGTCTGTCTGGTGGCAATTTTTATATCACAACATGGTTATTTAGTCTTTTATTTACTCTATAAGTAAAACACCATTCACATTAAAAAAAATAGAAAACAATTCTGTCAATTGCAGGCTTAAAATAAAACAGGTTCTAAATTAATTAGCAGAATACACTAAATCTGTGGCAGCCAGGCCTGAGCTTTCTCAGTGTTAACTTGCTCAAGAATTCATTCATTCCAACGAGTTTTGATGTTGGCATTACTTGTAAAAGTATTAAGTTCTTTACCTGGAAATTTCACTTTCTGGAATTGTATTGAGAAGTCGCATCCCACATTCATCGGAATATGTGAATACTACAGTTTGTGCCCACAAACAGCTTAAACTAAATCAGTTTTTTCTCCTGTGGGAACGTTTATACTCTGAGTCAAATAATTTTACATATATTCAGTAGTTATAATGGGGCAAACATGTTTGTAATAAGCAGCTACAGTCATTTAAAGTAGCAGAGTCCTAGAATGAAAAGTAAGTGTATGAAATGAAAGAAAATACACTATACATTTAATTGTTACAGTGTAATTTAAGTAAAACCTTACAGAAATAAAGCTCTAGTTACTGATTTCACCCACCCACTCTAAATGCAATAGTTGTATATTAGTATGTGCAAGAAGGTAGATCTGGAAGAAAATACATCCCAAATTTTTAGTAGTGTTCATCTCTAAGGGATGGGACTAAGGAATATTTTACTTTTTATATTATATATTTTGGTGTATTTTAAATTTTTTACAGTGAGTACCAGGAAAGAAACTCAAAGATAAAAAAAGGGAGGATAGGTCATAAACAGTCTTCAAATAAAAAAGTATTTGATACTTTTACACTATAAGGATTTTTTGTTTGAAGACGTTAAGGACGTAAAATGTCAATATGTCATTGAAATTATTTTAGAACTAATACTTCACTTGTTCCATGTGTTAATGTTATTTTTATCTTAATTGAATATGGAAAGGTTATATAGAACACAGTCTAAGACTCATATGGGCAAAAGTATATTTACAGAGGATTTAGGATAAGTTCATAGCTATTAAATCACATGGAGTCACTATGAGTCGAAATCCTGGATGACAGCTAACAACAGCAATGAAATTGTTGAGTCGTGACTTTTAGATCCATTGTAATAAAAATGTTTGTATTTGCATACTTACTACATTTGAGTACTTACTATCTGCCAGGACTTTTTCTAAATTCTATCATTAAATGTGTTATCTTGTTTAATTGGCACAGCAACTCCATGTGGTTAGTCTGTTATCTACTCTTTGTAGATGAGGAAATGGGCTCAGAGTCACACTGAGGGGAGGAGCTGGAATTTGAACAAAGACAGCCTGACTCCAGTCCAAGCTGTTAACCACTGCACATTAAAGCATACACATGTAAATACTGTATTACTGAATAATGACTACTTTTAACAATGTTCATACTACATCGTTATAGGAGTTAAAACATTTCTTCTTAAAGGTATCTTCAGTTTTGACAGGTGTGATAGGGCAGCAGTGGAGAGGAAAGGAAAGACAAGATGTGAGAGCATAGATCCTAGACAGGGGCTTCCATCACTAGACAAGGGGCAGTCATGCCCAGGTCTCTCCACCCAGGACTTGTACCTCTTGTTAGTTTGTACTCATGTAATCATGTAATGGTTAGAATTAAATGTGGACATTTATCCTAGATACTTGACTAATATGAAGAAGGACTTTTTTTGTCTTGTAAAGGAGACTCACATTTCTGTTGTATTTTGGGGTAATGTCGAAGCAGTAGTAAAAATAAGGACGGGAAAAACAAAAAATTAACAGTAGTGAAAACAAAAGATGAAAACATAAATCAGTTCTTTTTATAACAAATTAAAAATTTGGGGAAATCTGATATCTTTTCATAGACTTAAATTATTAAAGTAAAAAGTTAGTAAATGTGAATCCCAGTTTGTGTCTCCTTAACAACTCATTTCTGCTGAGGGAATGTGCAGGTAGTATTTGTTTTTTTGTGCTTAAATGTTTTTTTGTGACTGCTTTTCTACCAGCTAAAGGTACTCTCAATGAAGATACTATCAGAGTGTTTTTGCATCAGATTGCAGCTGCCATGAGAATCCTGCACAGCAAAGGAATAATCCATAGGGATCTTAAACCACAGAACATCTTGTTGTCCTATGCCAATCGCAGAAAGTCACATGTCAGTGGTATCCGCATCAAAATAGGTAAATGGCCATGTATTGTTTCACGCAAAGCAGGTTTCTGAGACTTGGTATTTTTAGTTAATTTTAGTTCAGCTTTGTGAGAAGGATAAATTGTATTGATGCAATTTTGAAATTTTTCTTCAATTCATTGAGCTACGTTTAGATTTGCTATTGGCAACATATGCTGAATCTCTTAGACAGGGCCAAAGGGCCAACACAGCTCTTAATGTCAATCTCATCAGCAAGTCCTGCTCCTCTTCTTGAGTGGGAAGCTGATGTCTTATGATTGCTGGCAGCTTTAATAACTCTGATTCATTATAGCTCATGGTATGTTAATGTAACAGGATCTAAGAGATCATCTAGTTCAGCCTCCTTGGCAGTTTTTTTGTGCTCTTATATTTCTGAAGTTTTTGAAGCAGTTTGTAATGCTAAATTTTTTTTTTAAAGCTTTCCTGTTGGTTGTTAGAAGAATAATTATTTTATACTCTCTTGTGTCTTGAAGAATCATATAATCTATGTTAAGTATGAGCAAATGTATCATTTGTTTTTCTACTTTTTATTTTGTGAAATAGCGGATTTTGGTTTTGCTCGTTACCTACATAGTAATATGATGGCTGCAACACTGTGTGGATCCCCAATGTACATGGTAAGTGAATGTTTACATCCTTTGTGTTTACAGCATGGTGCCATAAATTATAATGAAAGTATAATGTTTGTTTCCAAGGAAGATGTAGTTTTATATATTGTGTGAATTGTTATTTACATTACTGATATTAATTATTGATAATGCTGTAATCTTTTGCTTTACCATAGAGGACTGAAAAAGTAAATAATTTTTTCCCATTGATTTTAATTTTTTAAAACGGATTAGTTCTTATGTTAGGAATTCCCCATTAGATTAAATTGAAAATAAAAATGGATGCAGTATGGTTATACTGTACTTGATGTGTAATATTGATGTGTCCTTTAGGGCACCTCTTCAACTACTTGGTGTGCCCATCTTTTGCATGTTGTCTCTTGACAAGATCCCTAGATTGTAGAAGTGTTTTCCATCCACATCACATTTAAAGCTGAAAAATGTTAGCTTTCCTCTTTATCCTTTCATATAGATATAGATATTATTATCATGTCTGATAGGGCTAGGCTATGAAATTTCTAAATTAACATGAAGTATTAAGCCTGGAAATATCTTAATTCTGGAGCTTAAGAATTCTTCCAAGTAAATAAATGTAACCTGGGACTTCTGGGCAACATGGCGCTATAGTCAGAAGCACCACGCTGTCCCTCTGCAGCAAAGATCAGAAAAACTAAGTCAAACAGAGTCACACGTCAATCCTGAAACCCTAAGCATCAAATAAAGAGATAAAGAACTCAGCAAAGCACTGAATGGAATAAGAAACTGACCAAGAACAGAGCACGAAGAGAGATGCATGCAGAGGTCCCTTATCAGCTACCGCAGCATGGATCCGCCATCTTGGACTCCTATTGGAGATCAGCGAACAGGAGGTACAAGAAAGCAGCTTCAGAGCTTCCAGCAGGAGACAGAACAACCGGTAACCCACGATACAGGCTTTCCCGCCCCCCACCCTTCTTCATCCCCACTTAGCCTCCTCTGCTTCCTGCAGCCACAGTCTTTTGGCCGGGAAGCACGACCTTCCCCCCAGTGCCGCTTGGATTCCACCTGCCCACACTGGCCAGCTCCCTGAGTGCCATTTTTTGGCTGCTGGTGTTGCTTTTTTCTGCTTCTTTAGATGTCTTCCTTACCTCTCACCACCTCCCCCTCCTTTCTCTCAAATACCTGGTTCTGTGCGCCATCTTTCCTTTTTCCTGAGAGGCTGTGAAACACTGCTCGACCATGAAACTGCTTCCTGGCCTGTGCCGCTACGCTGATGCGACCCCCTGGGCTTTTTTGTTTGTTTGCTCTGATTTGTTCTGTTTTGATTTGTTTGTTTTCTTTTTCTTTTCTCGGCTTGGGAGCCCCTTCTAGTCAGGCAGTACAATGCGACTTGGAAGCTAGTCCCCTTACTCTGCGCACACGCACGGGGACATCCCTGGGGGCATTTCTTTTTCCTTGTTGGTTTTTTTTTTTGGGTTTTTTGTTGGTTTTTGTTTTTTTTTCATTTCTTTGTTTTGTTTTCTTCTCTCTCTTATTCCCTTTTTGTCTTTCTTCATTTCCAGTTTCTCAATTTATTCATTTTTTTTCTTTTACCCTTTTTCTTTTTTTTTCATTTTTGTTTTCCCCCATTTCTCAGTCTCTCATCTCTCCAATAGCAAGCTCGCTTAGCACTCTTTTTTGTTTGTGTGTATGTTTTTGGCTCCTGTACCTCTCTCCTTTCTCTCATCTTTCCCATACCCACCTTAGCTCTACACATCACAATCTACCCCCTCCTTCCTGCCTATCTGCACCGTGCGCTGAACATCACACTCCGAAGCAGCACAAGCACGGCCTACTGGAACCTGCCCTGCACTGATTCCCAGTCCACACTGTCAGCCCTGGTACGTGCCACAAAAAACCTATCCCAGCAACTCCCCTTCAGCTGGACCTGCCCTGCTGTACCATACCTGAGTGACTGACCCTGTCCATTGGAGAAGGAGGTGAAAAGTATCGCACCCACAGATGAGCAGACAACAAAGAATGCACAGCCCACCTGCTCAGATGTAACCAAATAAAACAAAAAAGCAGGACAAAACAAACAAATCTACAGTCAATAAACAAGGAAAATAATCACCGAATGCCCCAAAGACAGCAAACAATATCAAAACATTTACAAAAACAGGACAGGATGGTTCCAGTAGGCGTCCAAAATAAAACAACAGATGAGCTTCTAGTAGAAGAAAAGGCACTAGACCTAACTGATAGGGAATTCAAATCTCTAATATTCAGAATTATCCAAGAGTTGAAGCAAAAAGCAGAAAAAAATGAGGAAAAAATACACAAATTCATGGAAAATACAGACAAAAAAGTGGAAGAATTAAAAAAAATAATACAGGAACAAAATGCTAAGATAAATTCACAACTAGAAATCATACAAAAACAATAATTAGAAATCCAAAAGATAAACAACAAGATTTCATAAATGAACAGTGTCATAGAGGGGCTGAGGAGCAGGTTTGAAACGATGGAAGACAGGATCAGTGAAATTGAAGACAAATACTTGGATACAACTCTGAGGAAAAATCAGAAAAAAGAACGAAGAAAAATGAAGAAACCCTGAGAATTATGTGGGATTAAAAAAAAAGGAAAAATCTGTGAGTGATCGGAGTTCCAGAACGGGGAGAAAACAGAAGACACAGAGAGGATCATTGAAGAACTGCTGACAGAAAACTTCCCCAGTATCATGAAAGATGAAAAGCAGGCTATCCAAGAAGCTCAACAAACCCCATATAGGATTGACCCCGAAAGAAAATCACCAAGGCATTACATAATCACACTTGCTGAAACCAAAGACAGACAAAGAATCCTGAGAGCAGCTCGAGAAGAACAAAAAGTCACATACAGAGGAGAAACAATGAGACTAAGCTCGGATTATTCAGCAGAAACCATGAAGAAAAAAAATGCCAGCCAAGAAGAAAAACGCCAGCCAAGAATAATATATCCTGCAAAACTCTCGTTCAAATATGATGGTGAAATCAGGACATTTCCAGATAAACAGAAATTAAGGGGCTATGTAAAAACCAGACCAAACTTATGAGACTTATTAAAGGAAGTCCTTCGCTCTGAGAACAAATAATATCAGACCACAGGCTGAATATAAGACATAGGATTGTACTAGCCAGATACCAACCTAAGAAATGAACTCTTAAGGACT